GCCCTCCTAAAAATTTCCCGGACCACAATGTGATGGGCCGCTGGATTTAGTCCATACTGGAGAGGAAACTCTGCGCTACAAAATGCACCACTGTTGCTGCTCATAGAAAACCATCGAAAAATCCAGGCTGGAGTTCTCAAGAAACTCCGCGTGCCGCCTTCGATGAATAGCCGCGGCATTTTTAAACTATAATTAGTACAGGAGACGGTCATATAAGATTACCGTGTGTTCATTTCATAGGTGTGATGCATAGTAAATACCTCACATGAATTCACTATGTAACAATACGAACTACGGTTTTTGTAGCCCAATTCTTTTGTTACCATATTTATGGCGCACCCTGTATAACGCACGGGTATGTGGACTTACGCGCGTCCGAGGATGGGCGAGGCAAATTGCGCGGCCAAGTTCGTAACGATATGAACGACTTTAACGTTTATCATTGGGGCCCAAATGTGAAGTAGAGTAGATTAGAAGGATCATCTGACCCTAATAAACTACTCTACTCCGAGATTGTGCTCCGAAAATTGGCGTCAGAGTCGCACAAATCGTCACAACTTCGCCGCGCTAGTTGCCGCGTGCGTCCTCTGACGCACTCAGAGCACGTCCTCCGTAACCCGCTAATGTTTGTGTGTGTCCGAGCGGAAATTCATAACTCTTGTCCTCCCCCCTACCCCTCTGTGGACCTATAAGTTCAAATTTGGTAGGAGTACTAGGGGCAGGAAATGAACGCTTATGATGGGTGGCAGGACCGGACTCTGTCCACAATGGGCGGTTTTGAGCAGAAATTCATATTTCCTGTCCTCGTGGACCTAGAAAGCTCAAATGTGCTAGGATTACAGGAAACAGGATGGGAACACTTATGGTGGTTGGAAGGAGCGACTCCCACCCACTCAAACGGTGTTTGCGCGAAAATTGTCAATTTGACCCTAGAGCGTTTAAAATTGGTAGGAGTACAGGTGACAGGTTGGGAACACCTATGGTGGGTGGCAGAGCCGGACCCCGCCCACAGGGGGATTGGTTTAAGCGGAAAATCATGACTCCTCTCCCCGTGGACCTAGTGCGTTCAAATTTGTAAGGAGTACAGTCGGCAGGATGAGAAATGGTCTGTTTCAGAACCGGACCCCGCCCACAATGGGTGGGCTCTTAGCGAAAAACCATAACTCCTGTTCCAGTGTACCTAGAGCGTTCAAACTTGGTAGGAGGTATAGGCAGCAGGATGTGAACGCTTATAATGGGTAGGAGTGTTGGACTCCGCCCACAAGGGCAGGGTTCCTCATGGGAGTAAAGGAGGCAGGACGGGAACACTGACGATGGAAGGGGCCTTAGAAAACAAGATCCACTCACCATTTAAACCCCTTCGTTATTTACAGTCTAGCTTTTACATTTTGATGTGTTCCATTCGACGAGAAGGGGTAAGTGCAGTGATGGAGGCCGACTAAGAGTACCAATTTTTAGGGAGATGAAAATTGGTTCATTTGCTGCTACTAGGTTACGACCGCTACCGAGCAGAGTTTGTGACTCAATGAAGAATCACTGTTTATCCTCGCTTCGATATCATTCTTGGAAAAACTTATCCGACCGCTGATAATCTTGGGTTCCCATTTAATGGTATATCCGTAGAGAAAGGAAGCTTTATTGAAAAAGACATTCGATGATGGCATCACCAGGGCTTTGGTTACCAGTTGAACCTTCAGTGGGTCATTAATTTTAAAGGCACAGTTCACGATAAGAATGGTTTCTGGGATTTCCCCACAGGATGGATTTGAGGCACCTCTTATACCATATCTTGCGCTGCCATTCATGTCGGAAAACGGCCCACTTAGGGCGTTGCAAAGGCTCAAAGATTGTCTTCTGTGTATACTCGGAGGAGTTTAACCGGCATTGTAGAGGCTGCACAGATCACAATGGAAGCCGTGTAGGGAGTTCAAACAGCTTGTCATGTCCCACAGCGGCAATGAAATGCAGTTGTGTACAGTTCTGGCTTGATGTAGTCAGCTCTTTGCGCAACTGCAACGACCGACATTTCGTCCTAATATCCCTTCTATGTTATTTCCGCAATGGTAATCTCATCCGACCTCTATTTTCCCTACTTTTAGGAGCCTTATTTTTCTCAAAATCGTCGTATTTTCTCGCTCTATTTGCTACCGATGGAATATTCCCAACCTATACTTCCGCTTTTCAACTCAAAGGGGGTACCTAAGGCTTATCGTGAACTGTGCCTTTAAGATGAACAGCAACAGATTAAACTTCTAATCATAGGCATAAGCATCAGTTCATTTCAAATACATCTTGCATGCCCTATTAGTTTTCTGTCGAATTTCGTGCTCCGAAAAATGTCATTTGGCCCCCAAATGAGGAGGGGTCGATTTGTCGATTATAACAACCCTACCATAAGAAGGAGGGAAGCCCGGCGTCAGCCGAGCGGCCCGACTGGTATTTCATTATCACGTGTTAAGAGCTTTATTTTCTTGCGCAAGGTAAAGCGAAGTGATCTGTCGTTTAATGTTGGAAACACTTCTCGTAAGTAGTCACTGAACGGTTTTCGGAAAAAAATGAAAATAGAAAAAGAAGCCGTGTCTTGCAAAAGTTCCCAAAAAACTAGGTTGGTACCAGCGTCAGGCCCAGCTGGGCGGATCGGCTGATGGAGAACATGTGTCAAAACAACAATGGTTGAAGCCACGAAAGAATTCAGTAACAAAGCTCGGACGTCACCGGGATCGAAAGGACCCTGCCCGAATGCTGTGAACAGTGTGCGCAAGCCACCAAGGCCATTAGAACTCGGCCAAAGAATTTAGTCCAAATTGGGATTCTGAGATTGCTTACTGGAAAGCCCCGCAAGGTTGGTGGTCCAACGATGAAATCCAACTGCTATGCCTTTAGGAGATGCGCTGGAAGGGAGCAAAGCAGAAAAGTCGGAGAGGTTCAAGCTGCATTATAATGGACAAGATAATAAACATAAAGACGTGGCTATAGCAGTAGCAGAATTCCTCAAAACTGTCTCCACTGTCAACAGGATCAGCAGTCGAATCATGGCTTCGAATATCGACTGGGAAGAGGGTTACCAGGCTTTAATATCCGTGTACGCACTGCAAGCCCGCTGCCGCCACTGCGATCTCGACCTGGTCACAGCTCACGAATTGGTAGTCTGCAATACCTTCTTCGCTAGAAGGAAGACTCGGAAGGTAGGCGTAGCAGCAGTGTCATACAATCGAAAATCGGCTACGTGCATGTAAGAAGATCTTCGTCCAAAACTGTGAAATGTGTACAATGATAAAGATTTGGCTCTACAGCACAAACCTCTCGTAGCAGACATAGCCACTGAACTTTCCAAGCGTCAAGAATGAGAATGGAGCGGAGGATGCGGTGGTGGAATCTGGAGCGAACCGGGAAAAGAAGACCGGGAGATGCTGAAAACAGGTCGCTCAGATCCTTAAAGGCGCAGTTCGCGATAATTCAATGGTTCAGACTGTCTGACGTGACATCGAATGAGAGGCGGACACGTCATTGACATACCCACCCATTGAATTATCGCGAACTGTGCCTTTCAGGACCGATCCAGGGGGCGATAATGTTCAATATGTTGTGAGGCAGAGGAACGGTGTCGACAAGTGCTGGCAAAGCACACGAGCTCCACAAGACCTAGCTGCCTACAGAAGTTGCAGGAGGCTCGCGAAAGCTGCTAAAAAATGGCAAAGAAAAAGGAAATGGACGCTTCGACGAGAAGCTCTAGGGTCGATTAGGGGAGAAGTTCGTCTGTCGGTTGGCTAAAGCGCGGCACTGGGGCCTCAAGACAGAGCAGTGACGGCTCTAAAGGACAGCGGCGGTGCATGAAGGAAGCCTGCGAGGTCAGGCGCAGGTGAAAATAATACTTCGACAGGCTCTTAAATGGAGAACTCTATCGCTAGAATAGCTCCCAGGTAGAGGCGATGGTTGGTCGAACTGTCTGCTGGATAGAGGATGAAGCTCGTCGAGTAGTAGGAAAGGTGAAAGTAAGCAAGGCAACTGGTCTGTATGTGTTACCTCTCGAAGCATGGAAGTCGTTCGGAGAATAGGAGTTAGGTGGCTCACTTGATCCGAACAATTTGACCACTAAAGGAAGAACCCGAGATGCCTGAAGGAGCAGTACCGTTGTCTTCATCTTCAATGGGAAAGAAGGCGCGTTAGTTTTTCTACTGATGGGGGATTAGGTTGAGCTCTCACGTTAAAGGTATAGAGAGCGGTCAATGGACTCAACATTGAAGGAATAGATTTGATCGCGCAGGAACAGTTCGGCCTTATGGCAGGAATGTCTACAGCGGATGCCACCTTCATAGGTAGGCAAGTTATGAAGAGGTATATTGAGATCCTGCTACTTTGCCTACATCGATCCGGCGAAGGCTTTTGACTGCCATCCGCGACAAGACCTCTAGAAAGCGCTTCGAGAACAAACCATTCCAGAACAGTCATGTTTCTGGTTAAGGAAATATACGGCAGTTCCGAGACGGTCATACGCATCCCTCACGACTTACCAAGAGCAATGGTCATCACGGTTGGGATGCATCAGGGGTCAGTTCTGAGCGTGTTCCTATTGCGCTTACAGTGTCATTGCAAATGGTCTCCTGGGTAGACCATCGTAGACCATACTCTACGCTGATGACATGGCTTTGATAGCAGAGAGCCGGAGGAAATCGAAAACAAGCTGCGCCAATGGCAAAATGTTCCGCAGGAGGATGGAGTCCTGCTGAACGTCAAAAAGACAAAACTCTAATTTTTTCGATTCGATAGGCTCTAATAAACGCAGCATGGAGGGGGTCCACTGGTGGTCTCTGCGACCAACGAGGGTCCAAGACCGTCAAGGGAAAAGTGTACCGAGCAGTGATGAGGACCATGATGCTTTCAGCAGCTTGTGCTTTTCCAAATAGAAACAGAGAAAGACAACTTCACTCAGTTGAAATGAGATTGCTCAGGTTCGTAGGTGGACGATAAAGGACCGAATCAGAAAAGACATCAGAGCAGTCATGCAATCAGCCCTCATCGCCGAAACTCAGAGAGCAGTCGTCTGGCATTACGGACACTTACTGAAACCACAGCATCATCCGGTAAAGATGGCAGTGGAACTCGAGAACCGAAGGAATCGATTACGAAAAGTCAAAGACGAGATGGTGAGGCGTGATCAAGAAGAGCCTCGTCGAAACCGAAAACATGCACTAGCTGCTGAGAGCATCATGGGGCATGGGGCAGAAGAAGCCATGATAGACGGAAGTGGAGATGGCTGCAAGGGGCAGTGGACCTTGCGCGACGCTGGATTAAAGGCACAGTTCACGATAGTTTCGGGTAGCCCAGATTATGACGAAAAATGGAAGATACGATGGAAAATAGGCGATGGAGACGAAGGAACTGAGTGGATCGGTGTTTCCGAAGTGGAATAAGGCTTTGAAAAATTGTCAAAAAGGGGCTGGACGAGAATCAAACTAGAAGAATGAAGAAGAGTGGGGCTTTTGAACGAGCTACGCACAGCGCGTCATTGCGTACATATGGGTCCTGGTGCAAATATCTGGCTACGGTAAGCAAAATTCGTCCGTTTAAAGCACAAGTAAACAAAAAACCCTAGTTACAGCAAAAATAGCTCACCTTTTTCTGCCTCTTGGGGTAGAAAATTAAAAAAGGGATCGCGGCATCAAAAAGGATAACAGAGGAAAAAAGAACGGGAGAAAAACATCGCCTCATCAGTCGGCGATCAGCTGATTGTGTGTGGGTCCTAGAACGAACATTCGCATTCTGTATGTCTCGACACTGGTCTGGCGTGACATCGATCGAGAGGCGGGAAAGCGACACAAGGCAGCAACAGGGCTTCCACTGTGCCCTGACCGTCGAGATTTCGGGAGCGAGAGGGACCCTTTTACCATCCATGGGCCCACTATTCCTAACAAGGGAAGGATACTAGGTCGCAGTGGCCATCTGAGATGAGATGTATACGGCCGAATGTGTCTCCAGGTGAGTATCTCAAGTCCGCTTTCCAAATCTACTAAACGATTCTGGGGTCAGAGTTATGGGACCATTTCCTCTCCTGTGTTAAACGCCCCGAGATGCCTATATAAGCCAACCGAAAACAAGACCGAATGTGCGGCGATGGAGCAGTTGGTACGGTGGCGGATTCTCAGGATGGTCACGGAGGTTCGGATCCTTGATGCTTCTGCTCGTTTTGCATTTTGAAAAAA